GAGCGTCCACCTCCCACCTCTAAAGCTTCCAACTGCACCGGGACCCCGGGCAGCAACACCAGCTGCTACTGCCGCTTCACCCATTCAGTATCCCCCGCTTCCCTTCTCTGCACCTACCAACTGTGGGAGAAGTGCGCGCTGTCAGCTCCCGAGTCCTCCGCCCCACTGACCCCCGTGGGCCCCCGTCCCGGCAGCACCACTCCCGGCCGCGGCGGCAGTTCCTGCGCCCGGTTCCCCACTCGCCCCGATTTACTGCCACAATCCACCAAATAACAAGCTGTTGAGCAGACTGGCTTCTACACGAGCTCCTATTGGCTGCTCATGACGCCGAAGAGCTTCGGATTGGAGCTCGCTACCTGCCGTCCTTATTGGATGTAGCTCTAAAACTTCACGGATTGGTGTGAAAAACAGCAGGTAGGACATCGTCCACTTATGATTGGTTGTGTCTCAAGACCAACCTTATTGGAGACTTGGGTATTGAGTAAGCAAGTCCTGAAGAATGATTGGAAGAGACGACTCCGGATGTGTTTGACTAACCACTGATTGGTGTATTGAGGGGTCAGGAAGAGCAGTTCGCACGAGGATTGGCGGTGGAGTGTCCCATGGAAACGGAACCCAGAACTGCAGCCAGGGGCTTGCTCGGGGGCGGGGCAGGGTGTTTCCAAGGCGCCTGCGCTAAACTGACTTCTCGGCGCCATTTTGTCTGGGCAGCAGTGGCCGCGGCTCTATCGTATTTTATGTTTCTGGCGAGAAGGGAGCCGAGTCTTTTTCAGGTGGATTTGCTTTAGTGTGGCACCCTTCCACTGTTCCCTTTAGGTCACCACCTTGTGACGGTCGGAGGAGTCGCAGAACAGTCAAAAAGGTCAGTTGGGGTCTACAGTTGTCGTATTGACGGGGGGATGGCGCAGCTCTAGCTGCACCGACACCGGAAGTGAAGGGGCCGCAGGCAGCCATGGTAAAGTACATTCTCCCTGCGGCGGGGTGGAGAGGGGGGGCGGGATAAAAGGGGGCGAGGCTTCCTCTCCCGCCCTGGGAGAGAAAGGCGAAGGAGACGCGCACGTCTTTCTAGGGGAAGATCCCTAGGGCTCTTCTCGAGTGTGTGAGATTTTTTTACTTTGTGTTCGTCTCCGAGTAGTGTTTCCTCACTTAGGAAGTGCGTATCGGGATTTGCCGTATTATTACCCGAGCAGCACCCCCGTGGGAGATCCTTACTTAAGCCGAGGAAGGCACTGTTCTTAGAAATGTCCTGCGTGGGAAGAAGTGTTTCCGCGTGCACCTCACGCGATAAAGCTATGCGGAAGCGGTAGAAAGCTCTGTCATTCGGAACACGGAGGAATTGAGTGGCCAGCACAGACGCTGCCACTGTGACCTTAGATAGGCGTTTGTGTCACATTGCACGAGGCTTATGCCACTTTCAGAAAGGACATAGCAGTGGCTATACAGGAACTGAATAATTTTAGGTGGAAGGACCTCCTGGGTAGGATAGACGTTAACATTGTTCTGTCAGCAGCATCTTGTATACTGTTAAATGAAACAAAGCATTTTGAATAGTGGAATTGGAGCGTTGGCAAATATATTTAAATAAAGTAAGAAAAATGTGAAATACCATCAGTGATCAACGTGGACTAAATTTATTCAACCAGAAGACATTTTAACTCAAGCAGAGTCTTTTTCTTATTCGTAACAGTGGATTTTCTAAAATTATTCATTGAAAACAATGAAATGTATGTTGGTATTTTCAGAGAGTAACCAAGTCACACGTTCCTGGATGTATACACCTCTGTTCTAAACCCTATTACTGTATTTAATGGGACTCTACACTAGAGAATGGTTGAGTTATTTAATGCTTTATTGTTATGTTTTTGGGTTTTTGTTTTGTTTTTGCTTCTGTGCTGAAGAAAAGAGGACATCTCAGTGATGCAAATCCCAAAGTATTACTGAGGTGAGTTCTGATATCTATGATCTTTTAAGTTACAGGGTTTTTTCCCTAAAGAATTATTTTATTTTACTTTATTTATTTTAGTTTGACCAGAGAGGGACACAGTGAAAGAGAGAGGCAAAGTGAGAAAGCAAGTTATCAGATCTGTGACTTGAAGGGCATTCAGCCATGTGGGAGTCCAGCATCTTTAGCCACCTCACCACCTGCCAGACCCTAATGTCTGTAATCTTCAGAACTGGGGGACCACTTGGAAACGTTTTCTGTGGACAAGCAGATAAATATGAGAATAGCAAAAATGATAGTTAAAAGATATTTTGTTTAGGCAAGGGTTCAATGAGTCTATATAATTAGCTTCCTGGTGTGATATTTTAGAATACAGTTCTAAATAAGGACATCTTCCAAATTTGTTTATCCATTCATGTAATTTTCACTTCTAGGATTTTAAGTAGGTTGGTACAAAATAAGTGTGGTTTTTTGCATTGTTTTATATTGGAATACATTGTCAAATTTATATGTCATAATAATGCACACTTATCACTTTTTTTGCTAACGATTTATTACTTGCTGTTTATTTTAGACTGGAAATGATGTTAGACAAAAAGCAAATTCGAATGGTTTTCTTATTCGAGTTCAAAATGGGTTGTAAAGCAACAGAGACAGCAACATCAACAATGCATTTGGCACAGGAACTATTAATGAATGTACAAAGCAGTGGTTCAAAAAGTTTTGCAAAGAGCCTTGAAGATGAAGAGCCTAGTAGCTGGCCATCAGAAGTTGACAGTAACCAACTGAGAGCAATCATCAAAGCTAATCCTCTTGCAACCTTAGGAGAAGTTGCTGAAGAACTCAGTGTCAATCGTTCTACAGGTCATTTGGCATTTGAAGCAAATTGGAAAGGTGAAAAACTTGATAAGTGGGTGCTTCCTTAGCTGACTGAAAATCAAACAAATCATTTTGAAGTGTTGTCATCTCTTACTCTGTGCAACAAGAGCAAACCATTTCTCAGTCAGGTTGTGTGTAATGAAAAGTGGATTTTACACAACAATCAGCAATGACCAGCTCAGTGGCTGGACTGAGGAGGAGCTCCAGAACACTTCCCAAAGCCAAACTTGAACCCAAAAAGAAAGGTCATGGTCACTGTTTGGTAGTCTGCTGCCAGTCTGATCTACTACAACTTTCTGAATCTAAGCAAAACTATTACATCTGAGAAGTATGCTCACCACATTGGGGCGATACACTGAAAACTGCAGGGCCTGCAACCAGCATTGGTCAACAGAAAGGGCATATTTCTCCACAATATCTGACCATATGTCATACAATCAATGCTTCAAATGTTGAATGAATCAGGCTATAAAGTTTTGCCTCATCCTTCATATTCACCTGACCTCTTGCCAACCAGCTACCACTTCTCCAAGCATCTTGACAACTTTTTTTTTTCAGGGAAAACACTTCCACAACCAGCAGGATGCAGAAGATGCTTTCCGAGAGTTTGTTGAATCCCAAAGCATGGATTTTTACACTACAGGAATAAACACTTATTTCTCATTGACAAAAATGTGTTGATTGTAATGATTCCTACTTGAGCATAGTTATAATGATTTAAAAATCACAGTCGAAAACTACAGTTACTTTTGCACCAACCTACTTACTATTTTTATCACAGAACTGTGAACATTTTCATGATTTTTTTCCTCCTACTAAAAAGGTCTTTTTGAGTAAGAGTTTGTAGGACTAAAGTTTTTTTTTGTTTTGTTTTGTTTCTTTTTTTTTTTTTTTAAGGAAATTCTAAGACAAGTGCCACAATACTACATAACTTCCCAGAGGGTAATCACCTATAGTTCTACTACTCAACTTTATTATCTGATCTTAATGGTGCATATCAGTGGGCTTTTGGAAATTGCTAAAATTCCCAAGGAAGAAAAGACACCTGTATTTCTTCTACCACAGGTTATTATAGCTTATACTATTCTATAATATACAGAGGCTTTTTGTCTTGTTTTGGTTGTCTTATTTGTTTTATAGAATATTCTAGTTGTGTTTGTTTCATTGCCCTTTTTTTGTGTATGTATACAAGCCATTGGAAACTCTGGAAATATTTTGGCCCTAAGGCATGTTCATGACTTCAAAATGTTTTATTAGGTATCTGTACCGTAATTTATATGATTTATTCTCTCTATTTTTCTTTTTCTTTTTTTTTGGTAGAGATTTTCACTATAGGGCGCATGCACTCGCCAGAGAGACAGAGAAAGACATAGAGACAGAAAGTGAGAAATCACCCCCCAGGGGGGATGGTCACACCGCAATCCCTTCTCCATTCTCTTGGGATCTTGGGCATGCACGTGCACGCGCCTGGCATGAGTTTTAAGCCACCGTGTCCGGGACGCGAACTGCGGTTGACTACGTGGGAGTTCAGCGACATAGCCATTACGCTAACTGCTGGTTCCCTGTTCCCTCTATTTTTCTATAACAACAAGGTATTATGAATATCCTTGCGCGTGCTTTGTAAAATATAGGTGTGTAGATCTTTCGGATCCCCATAGATTTCTTTGCATAACTTTTCAGAAGTAGAAGTAAAATGCCAAAGAGGTGATACATTTAAGGCTTTGAGTACTTGTGCCATTGACCATCAGAAGGCTCTTCCTCCTATTGTGTGTATATTTGTTGTACTTTTTTATCTTTTCTTTTTTCCCGAGTTTTCTAAAGATGCTTTATTTTTTAGCTGTGTTTCTGGATCACTGTTTATTCAATCAGTTATCACAGCCTTTAATTTACACATACTGTGAAATAAATGTGAAACTTTTTCTTTGACCTTACATCACATTTCTGAAAAATGTTTTTTACTTTAGGAGTGAGCATTTGCAGAGTGCAACTTTTTGCTGTACACTAGTAACATTAGTTTCCTACTAAGAACAGATTTTTTTTTTTTTGTATTTATTTTTATTTAAATGTATTTGTTTACGTTCATTCACTGTACATCATTACAGCCTACAAAATGAGATTTTCCATCCAAGAACAGATTGTTTTTATGCTATAGTTGGTTGATTTTAACTACTTTGTGTTTCCCTATAGCCTGTTCTTGTGTTTCCCTATAGCCTTTCCGACTTTATGTGTATTCCCTCTGATTTTAAAGCCTCATGAGAGGCATGTAAAGGGTTCTTTGAAGTTGGTTTGATCTTCCCCAGTTTGAGACTATGTTCCCAGAAGGCAGCAATTGCTTTAATCACCTATTTTCCTCTATCTGATAAGTGCTCTGTAAATATTTATGACTCTGTAAGTACTTTGTATAAAAAAGCTAACTTAGGGTTTTAACAGTCATTTTCTTTTAAGAATTAATGTTGCACAGATGCTATATTAACCTTCATTTTTTTCTTTAATATTTCGGTTACTTCATTTAATATTGAATTTATTTGTACTTGCTGACAAAAGGCCAGTTTAAAGAACTCCTTAAGAATGTATGTATTGGGTCAGTCAGGTGGCGTGGTGGGTAAGGCAGCTGAGTCCCACTTGGCCAACTGCACAGTTCTAGTTCTGGACCCAACAGCTTGAAAAATACACAGGATGTGTTTATGTTTGTGCCCATAATCCCAAGAGGAAAATGGAGGAGGAGAGACTGCAGCGTGGTCATCTCCCGGGAGATGCTTTCTCACTTTCTCTCCTTACTTGTCTCAAGTGTGCATGCCCTTTAGCAAATTAAAAATATATATATAAAATTGCTAGTTTCTCAAGACTTTTTATTCATCAAAACTTTTTGAAAGACTATTATATTTTAATGGGAGGTGATGGCTCATAAATATTAACTGCATATTTTCTAGACTACTTTTTAGGTAAGAGTGACAGACTATGATAGAATTATATTTTGGTAACCTATTTCAGTGAGCCCAAACTAATGAGTATGATAAAATGCTAAATATTCCTATGCTATAAAGCAATTTTGAAAGAATGTTTAGTTTGGTCAAGGGTCCAAGTGAGGGTATATAATTAACTTTCCTATGTGTATGTAAGACTAAAATCTCAAAATTATGACATCTTTATGGATTTGGTTGCTCATGTGATCCAATTTCTGGATTTTTAAGTATGTAATAATTTTATCATGTAACTCTATAAACTTTTTTATTATTTATTTTATTTTTTTCTGTAAGATGAATGCTTTTGCTAGAAGAGAGAGAGAGGAAAGGAAAGTGAGAAATCACCCCATCTGCCCCAGGCAGTATGGCCTGGCCGCTGTTCTGTCTCCTGTTCCGTTTTTTTTTTTAATAGGTGGGTTTTTTTTTTTTTTTTCTTTTAGAATTATTTTACTCAACTTTATTTATTACAGTTTGATCAGAGAGGGGATCAAGAGAGAGTGGGAAAGTGAGAAAGCAAGCCTCCAGGTCTGGGACTGGAAGTGCACTTGGCCATGAGGGAGTCCAGCGCCCTTAACTACCATGGCACCTGCTGGTCCCTCCTTTCTTCTCTTAAGATTTTGAGCACACATACATGTATGTCTGGTGTGTTTTTCAAGCTCCCAGGTTCCAGAACCACACAGCCAGCTATGTAGGATCCATGGTTAAGGCACCATGCCACCGGCTGGTCTTCATGATTATATATATATTTGTCTTTTAGAGTAAAACTGATTTTGTGGGGAAAATGAACCAAGATGTTCCAGCTTTAAAAGGCCATGATCATCTTTTTGTTGCAAGTTCTGTTTCTGGTATGTAATTTTATCTGTTTTAAGTAATCAAGATTGTCAAGGTTACTGTGTGCATGCATATGTGTAAGTGTATGCCACTTGGAAAATGTTAGAATTTGTTCACTTGTGCACTGATTTTTCTAAACAGTATATATTGAAGAATAGAACTGTTTTGTTGAATGTAGCTGCTTTTCTAAAGACTTCTTTATTTTTAGAAAGTTATATAATTGCCTTATTTGTGATTAAAGCAAATTTTGCAATATCTGTGTTGTCTCTTGCCCTTTTATATTTCAGTGCTGATTTTATGGACACATGGAGTCATAGATAACAGTTTTGTTTCACATATAATTAAAATTAGAATGACCGGGGCCAGCATTTAGTGTAATGGCTATGTCGCTTGACTCCCATGTAGTCAACCGCTGTTAAGAGTTCTGGACCCAGAAGGAGAAGGGATTGCGGCGTGGCCATTCCCCCTGGGGGGTGATTTCTCGCTTTCTGTCTCTCTGTCTCTGTCTGTCAGGCGAGTGCATGCACCCTATAGCAAAAACCTCTCCAAAAAAAAAAAAAAAGTTAAAAGAGTCCTGGACCCAATGGCTTAAAACTCAATGCCTGGCACATGTGCGTGCATGCCCAAGATCCCGAGAGGAGAATGGAGGAGAAGGGATTGCGGTGTGGCCATCCCCCCTGGGGGGTGATTTCTTGCTTTCTGTCTCTCTGTCTGTCTCTGTCTGTCTGGTGAGCATACATACCCTATAGCAAAATCCTCTCCAAAAAGAAAATGTAAAATTAGAATGACAGTGAATTTTAGGTTCTGGTTTTAAGCAGACCTGGGTTACCTAATAGCTTCCCAACAATAATCTGTTTTCAGTTTAGTATCAGTAAAAGAGAGAACATAATTAAACATGAAAAGTTAAATCTAAGTAGTTATTTCCAAAGATTTAAGCAATTTAGAAAGCCTTTTGAGGATTTTAATAATGGCTCCCCAAAATCATAGATATGTTAAAGTTCTATATGCCCTTAGATGTAGTGATTTCTTTTTTTTTTTTTTCTAAGAATTCTTTTATTTTACCCATTATTATTATTTTGTAAGTTGACCAGAGCAAGACAGAGAGAGAGAGAAAGTGAGAAAACAAGCCGTCAGGTCTGTGACTCTTAACTGTGGTTGGCCATGTGGGAGTCCAGTGCCTAAAAATCACCATACCATCTGCTGGCCCCAGGTGTAGTGCTTTCTAAATGAGATGAACTGCTGAAGAAAGAAAGACAGCTATTTAGTGGTCAGAAGGCTTTTCATGGATAGTGAGATGTAATCTGTAGTTATAAGAAGACCTTCTAATTGTATAGAAGGTTGATAGCAAGAATGTGATTATATGAGGAAAGCTATATTTGGGATTGGGAGTAAATTAGTTTGGAAAGGATGACTGGCTAAAGACTACATTGGGAAAATTTTGTGGAATCAACATGTCAGTGGTTCTAGGGTGGCATTGTTTTTAGGGTTAGCTGCATATCACAATCCTGTGATATAGTGGCCCCCTACAGATTTCTAGAGGAGGATTTTGAAAGCTGGGATGTGAGCAAAACTTAATGTTATTTTTATCTTTTATTCGAAATGTACAAATCATAATAGAATTAAAAGAAAACCAACTTTAATACCACTCTTTTTGTTATTATTTTTGTGGGGGTTTGCCATAGGGTATGTGCACTCTCCAGGGAAAGACTGAGAAAATGAGAAATCATCTCCCAGTGCAGCTATCCACACTGCAGTCCCTTTTCTGTTGTCCTCATGGGATTTTCGGCATGCTCCCTGCGTAATTTTCAAGCCTCTGGGTCTAGGATTCAAACCATTGTCAGCCATGTGGAAATCTAGCACCTTAACCACCATGCCATCTGTTGGCTCCTTAATCCTACTCTTAATAGATTTTTAAAATGTCTTTTTCTTTGTATGCATATTTCTTTAGTCTTAAGAGTAATTTTGGTTTTATTTGTTCTTTTACAGTATAATAAACAGTGTGACTGCACAATATCCTTAGTATTAATGTCTGAAAATATTCCATCAAACTGTTTTATTAATTTTTTCATTGTTTGACCACTAAAATTCCTAGTTCTTCAGTATTGTGCTGTAATTGACTGTGTGTATACAGCACTTTTTTGTTCTTTGGACTGTTTTAGGATTGAAAGGATCATTGTATGAACTTTTTTTATGCCTTGAAACATTGTCTTTTTTTAAAGAAAAAAAAAAGTTATGATAGTTTACACTGTCACTCTGAGTTTAGTTACAGTCTTTTATTTATTTATTTATTTATTTATTAATTAGAGGTTTTTGCTATAGGGCTCATGCGCTCGCCAGACAGAGACAGACAGAGAGATAGAAAGTGAGAAATCACCCCCCAGGGGGGATGGCCACGCCGCAATCCCTTGTCCTCCATTCTCCTCTCGAGATCTTGGGCGCGCACGCACACGCACCCGGCGTGTGTTTTAAGCCACCGGGTCCGGGACGCGAACCGCGGTCAACTACGTGGGAGTCCAGCGACATAGCCATTACACTAACTGCTGGTCTCGAGTTACGGTCTTCTATAATTACCATTTTTGTTCATATAATAAGTACAAAATATGTTGAGCACTTTTCCTTCTAAGATTTTTGTTGTTAACTACTGAGATTGGGCCTTGCTCTGATTTCCCTTACTGATTTTTTTTTTTTTTTTTTTAGGATTATTTAATTTTACTTATTGCTGTTTTTTAATTTGCTATAAGGCATGTGCACTCACTGGGTTATGGGGAGGGAAAGCGAGAAAGCAAGCCACCAGGTCCAGGACTTGAATCATCATGGGCCACCACCGTGCCACCTGCTGGCCCCCTTGCAGATACTTATGCAAGTTGTCTATTTGAGATTTTTCTGTCTAATAACATGTTGGAGTCTTAATATTTTATTTCGCTTTTTTAACTCATAAGAAAATTATGGGTACCCTTGACAGCCTTATTACATTGTGATCCCTTTCCATAGCCTGTTAGCTTGTTTGGATGCTATGAGTGCACACCTGGAATGTTTCCGGGTCACATAGATATGAGTCCATGTGGTTCATGTGCTTTCCAGCACTGTACTTAAGCGTGCTACTGTCTGCAACACCAAGACCAGGCTGGTTTTTTTTCTTTCATTTTTTTCTTTTAAGAATTAATTATTTAGGACCAGCAGGTGGTGTGGTTAAAGGCACTGGATTCCTACATGGCTGACTGGTGGCAGTTTGAGTCCCAGACCTGGCAGCTTGCTTTCTCCCTTTCACTTTCTCCCTCTCTCTCTCATCAAATTAAAAAATAGTAACAAATGAAATTAAATAAATCTATATTTTTGAAGGGGAATTATTTTTTTTAATTTTACTTAACATTGTTTTTTCTAATTTGACCATAAAGAGAAAGGGAAGGTGAGAAAGGAAGTTGCCAAGTCCAGGACTCGAACTGTGGTTGGCCACGTGAGAGTCCAGTGCCTGAACCATCATGCCACCTGCCTATCCCATTTCTTCTTAAAATTTTTTATTGCAAGACGGCACAAGACCTTGCCAGAGAGAGAGAATGCCTCACACACCAATATTTTTCAATCCATTTCTCCCTCCTTTCAAGATTTGGGCCGTGCACATGTGTGTGTACTTTTAAGCCATGGTGCCAGAATTCAAAGTACAGTCCACCATATGGGACCTAGCCCCTGTCCGTAGTGCTTAACCACTGACTGGGCTATGGAGCTGACCCTACTGGACTGATAATTTCTTTCTTTTTTTTTTTTTTAAACTAGTTTTTGGGTTTTGTTTTGTTTTGTTTTGTTTTGTTTAGTTCTATTTGATCTGAAAGAGACAGAGCGAGAGAGAGGAAAGTGAGAAAGCAAGCCACCAGGTCCAGGACTTGAACCGTGGTTGGCCATGGGGGAGTCCAGCAGCACTAACCACCATGCCACCTGCTGGCCCTGATAATTTATTTAATTGTTTGAGTTAATCGTATAAACTTCACAGTTTGCTATACATGTTTTTCCAAATTGATTCTCTCTTGATTTTAGTTATTTTCACTCCGAATTTTTTAATAGACGGGACCAACAATTGGCATAATGGCTGTGTCGCTGGACTACCATGTAGTCTTCATAGTTCGAGTCCTGGACCCAGTGGCTTAAACTCACTCCAGGCGCGTGTGCGTGCGTGCCCAAGATTCCAAGAGAAAAATGGAGAAGGGATTGTGGCATGGCCATACCTCTAGGGAGTGATTTCCTGCTTTCTGTCTCTCTGTCTCTTTCTGGTGACCACATGCGCCCTATAGCAAAAACCTCTCAAAAAATATTTTTTGTTGAATAGACATCAAAGGGAATGATGCATGCAAAATATTATTGGAAAATTATTTGAAAACAACATCTAGTGTGACTAAAGAAATGACACAGGAATTAAGGGTAGTGAGATAAGATAGTATGGAAGTGGTGTCAGCATGAAGTGGAACTAGGGTAGGACCTAAGACAAAATAGGTGTATAGGAGATGATGAAGGTGGGGAGAGTAGAGTTGACAGTGCTTGATCACTAATTGATTATAGGGGTAAAGAAAAGATTTAGGAGATGGGAGCAGTGTCATTAACTGATTTGGAAAGTCAGGAGAAGCCACTTATTGGTAAAAAAGGTGAAATCTGTTTTAAGTATGTGAGTTAAAGCTTGAAATGTCCAATAAGCATCTAGAGAAGTCTTCAGAAATTCATGGAAAATGGATATTATGAAAAACCTGCATGGATTTGAGGATTTTTTATTTTTTTAACCAAAATTAACTCATTCTAACTTATTATAACATGTCTGAACAGGATCTAGTTTGAGACACTAAGAAGGATAAGACATCAGTTTGAAAAGGCTCCCTGTCAGAGCAACATGAATTCTGCTAAAATCGAAGCAAGAACAAACATCAAATTTATGGTAAAGCTTGGGTGGAAGAATGGTGAAATCATTGATGCTTTACGAAAAGTTTATGGGGATAATGCCCCAAAGAAATCAGCAGTTTACAAGTGGATAACTCGTTTTAAGAAGGGACGATATGATGTGGAAGATGATGCCCGCAGTGGCCGACCATCCACATCAATACGCAAGGAAAAATTTAATATTGTTCGTGTTCTAATTGAGGAAGACTGATGCTTGTCAGCAGAAATAGCCAACACCATAAACATCTCAGTTGTTCAGCTTACATGATTCTGACTGAAAAATTAAAGTTGAAAAGACTTTTTGGTAGGTGCCAGAACTATATTGCACCCAGATCAACTGCACACAAGAATAGAGCTTTCAGTGGAAATTTTAAACAAGTGGGATCAAGATACTGAATCATTTGTTCAAAGAATTTTGACAAGAATTACCAGGACAATTCTGAAACACCGCACAGTCAGAATAGTGGTTACCAAGAAGTGGAAATGATCTAGTCAAAGCAAAAGTGGACTGGTCAAGATCAAAAATTTTTTTAATGGGATGATAAAGACATTTTGCTTGTTGACTTTATGGAAGCCAAAGAATGATAACACGTGGTTATTATATTTTGAGAAAATGAGCCGAAACTTTAGCAGAAAAACGCTTGGACAAGCTTCACAGAATGTCTTCCACTACCAGTGCTCCTGCCATTCCCCTCATCCCCCGAGGGTATTTTGGGGAGATTTTCATTGGGAAATCATTAGGGATCCATATTTTATAGTCCTGATGCAGCTCCTTCTGACTTTTGTTTCCTAATCTTAACAAATACTATATTTGAAGGATACCCATTTTCTTCAGTTACTAATGTAATAAAGACTATATTGATGTGGTTAAATTCCTAGGACTCTCAGTTCTTTAAGGATGGACCAAATTGCTGGTATCATTTCTTGTAAAAGTATCTTTAACGTGATGAAGTTTATATTGAGAAATAAAATTTATATTATTTTTATCTTTGAATTCTAGTTGTCCATGAACATTTTGAAGTCCCCTTATATTCTACCTTTTGTCAAATTACTATTGGGGGACAAGCTCCTTGGACTGATGATTGAGAGAATTAGACCCCACACAGCTGGCAGGTTCAAATTTTGACCTCTGGCAATTAAAGAAATCTGAACCAGTTTGTTACATATATCAAGATTGTCATTTATCTCACTTAAATGCATATTTAGGACTTTGTCTCATTATAATGCTAGCTTTGAGTTATAAAGATACAATCTGTTTACGGATTCAGGAAAGGATAGGTTAATAAATTCAGAAACAGGATTTATGCATTTGTCCCCAGCATCCTGCATATTTCCATTACTTATTATGACACAGCAGGAAGCTGGGGGGAGAATTTTTGATAGGGTCTTGCCACATTGAGATCCTCCTACCAGCCACTCAGAACCATACATGAGTTGTACTGTGCCCAGCCTATTTGGGTTGGGCCAGGAGCCAATCCCAGGTCTCCCTGGTGGCCTCAACCCCAATATGGTAGTACTGTCTGCTTGAGCCTCTGATGGCTCAACATTCTGTGTTTTGTTTTTGTTTTTAAAGAATTATTCAATTTTATTCATTTATTTTAATTTGACTAGAGAGAGAGAGGGAAGGTGAGAAAGCAAACCACCAGGTTCAGTACTTGAACAGTGGTTGGCCCTAACGGGAGGGTCCAGTGCCTTAACCACCACATCACCTGCTGGCCTCCAACATTCTGAGTTTGTAATGTAGTTAGGTGTATGTTGTCATTGCTTCATTTATTTAATTCTTCACTTATGGCACCTTTTGTTTTTTCAAAGATTCTTAAGTCATTCAAACTATACATAGGAATTAGTTTTTCCTATGTCCCCATAAGAATGATAGCTTTGGCCCAGCCACAGTAGAAGTAGAGCATGCTGGACACTGCTGTTTAGCAAACAGGCCACATGGGAGGCATGGGATTTATTCCGTAGCTTACTCTTAGAGAGGTTCCCCCCACCCACCCACGCTATAGGGTGCTTGCACCCGCCAGACAGAGACAGCGAGAAATCACCCCCCGGGGGGATGGTCACACCGCAATCCCTTCTCCTCCATTCTCCTCTCTGGATGTTTAAGCCACCGGGTTCCGGGACACGAACCGCGGTTGACTACGTGGGAGTCCAGCGACAGCTATTACACTAACTGCTGGTTCCCTCCGTAGCTTACTCTTAAAAAGTGGTATTTACTTGCAAATAAGGCAGGAGGATCACAAGATAGTGAGACCCTATATAAAAACTTGAAAACATAGGCAGAATGATAACTTTAAAAATCACTCAGGATATGGGAACAGCAATTGGTGTAATGGCTATGTCGCTGGACACCCATGTAGTCGACCGTGGTTTGAGTCCTGGACCTGGTGGCTTAAACTCAAGCTGGGCGCATGTGCGTGCATGCCGAGGATCCCGAGAGAAGAAGAGAGAAGGGATTGCGACATGGCCATCCCCACTGGGGGATGATTTCTCGCTTTCTGTCTTTTTGTCTCTGTCTCTGGCGAGCACATGTGACCTATAGCAAAAACCTCTCCAAAAAAACCCCCAGTATTTTTGCCTTAGAGCACCTGCTCTTGCAGGAAAGAGAAAGACAATAAGAGGGAAGATGAGAAATCACCCCAGGGGAGTGGCCACAGGTCAATCCCTTCTTTCTTGTCTTGGGATCTTTGGGGAGGCACACACACACAGGCCTGGCCTGATTTTCAAGCCACTGCGTCTGGGACTCGAACTCACAGTGGGAATCTAGTGTTGTAACCACTATGATATTTTCTGTCCCCACCACCATGTGCTTTTAAAAGAAACATTTTTAGAGGTGTCTGAGCTCCTCACTTCTACATGGTGGCACTTACTGCTTAATGTTTGTGATTTTACATTTTAAACAGTTCTGAATTTTGAAATGTAGCCTAGTTTGGGATTCTGTAACTATAACTTTTATGTGAAGCCTGAAATCACAACTGAGAGAAAGTTAAGACTTAAGAACCTTTAAGCAAGCAACATCACTTTTTTTAAAATTTTTTTATTTACATTCATTCACTGTATATCATTATAGCATACAAAATGAGATTTTTCCATTCAGAATATACTGTATATTGGCTCAATCAAGCACGTCAACATATTTGTTGACAATAGCAACGTCACTTTTGAAACTAATAGGCTTGTAGTGTTCTTTTTGTTCTTTTTTATTATTATAAAAGATACACTTCTGTTTAAACAAAAAAAAATTATACACTTAAAATTTGAGGGATGTCTCTAGACTCCCACATGGTTGACCGTGGTTAAAAGTCCCAGACCTAGTGGCTTCAAATTTACTCTGGGCTCATGCACATGCCCAATATCCCAGAACCATCCCCCTGGGAGAATGATTTCTCACTCCCTCTCACTGTCTCTATTTCTCATTCTCTCTGGTGAGCGCACACACCTCAAAAATTAAGGACAAGCAGGTGGTGTGGTGGTTAAGGTACTAGACTCCCACATGGCCAACAATTGTTTGAGTGTCAGACCTGGCAGTTTGCTTTCTCTTTCTCTCATGTGTGTGTGTGCACTCACATACATCACTCATGCCCTGTAGCAAATTAGTAATTACTAAAATAAAAAAATTTTAATTTGATATTCTTAAATTTACTTTAATTCATTTCAAATTACTACATACAGAAGCCAGAATGCAGAGTTAAGAAAGGAGTAAGTGGGGAGGAGATGACCACCAAGAAAGACACCTGTGTAGTAAAGCAGCAGGGATCCTGGGAGATAGAAGAAATCAGTAATAATCTTACTTATAACTGGTATTTTCCCCCTCATTTCTGTTTTTAGTGAGGTCTATAGAGGTGCTCTGTGTGCACTCCCTTCACTGGCCTAGCTAGATGGGCCTTCAGCAACTGCTTAATCCCATTTCAGTCATCATGGCCATAAAGTTCATAAGATTCTTGAACCTCCTCATGTCCATGGTCGTAATAGTGAGTCTCCTTGGCTCTGGCTCTCATAGCCTTCTTAGCTTTTGTAACTTTGTATGTGTGTTGCCATACCTATATTCTTGTGTTTCTGGTGCAAGGGGTGGAAGCAGAGGAATTCTCTGGATGCATGCTGTACCTGTTCTTGATGCTGGAGCATTCCTCAGCGTAGGTGACAGTCGTACTCCTTGAATAATAGTGGCACCTCAGATGATGGTGCCTGTCACCTGTGGACCATACACCAATTCCCCCCCCCCCATGGCCCAACACCATGGCCCCTGAGGAGGTGCAGTTCCCCAACCTGTTACTGATACCCCACTACTACAGGAGAGCTCAGGTACTCCATTCAGGTAGGACAGCTCTAGAAATTGCTCCTTCCAGGTAACACCCATCATATATGGTACTAGGAACTTCTTGACTTCCTCCGTTGTATGGGCAATATGGAGCATAAGCCTGATGCAGGGGTCTGAAGACTTCAGTAAAGACTTGCAGATGAAGTGGACATTTTGGGAGTCTCCATCTATGCACAGCTCTTCCTCCTTGGCTTTATCTCTCATTGAACCCTCTCCCAACAGATCTTTGCATCAATCTCTTCCTGCAGTCTTGATTGTATTCCCTTGTGGTCCAAGAATCTTCTGCACAAAATAGAACTTGGGGTATCATGTGGCATGTACTAGTACCTGCACTTGCAGCTTCATGTTCTTATGACAAAATAAATCCAAGCAATTATCTTCATCTTGTTTTGAATCTCCTATTCTGAATTTTCTCAGTTCCTGCTGTCAGCAGCTGCATGGCGTAAGTGAAGGACTGGTCAAGGGAGTCCTCAGCCCACAAGTTTCAGCAGGTACTTGTTCAGCTCCATCTTGAACAGAGGCTGCGGCTGAGAGGGACAGCAGCAGAGTTGGTGCCGGATCACCCACTGTCACTTTAAGACCTATAGCTGATCACTGCAGCTAAGCAGTGTGGCGGTTGAGGCCTGGGAGATCCAGCA